AGAAACAAGAAAAAACGAGAATTAAAAAAAGCAGCGACCTTCTGCTGATTTCTGTGCGCCTGGTATCTCAGATTCTAATTTAACGGTTTTATGCCATTTGAGCGGTGGAAAGTGGAGGCAGAAAATGAGAAAAAGTAGATCGAAAAGAGAGAGCAACGAAATACAAAAAGAAACAAGAAAAAACGAGAATTAAAAAAAGCAGCGACCTTCTGCTGATTTCTGTGCGCCTGGTATCTCATATTTGAATTTAACGGTTTTATGCCATTTGAGCGGTGGAAAGTGGAGGCAGAAAATGAGAAAAAGTAGATCGAAAAGAGAGAGCAACAAAATACAGAGAGAAACACGAAAAAACGAGAATTTAAAAAAGCAGCGACCTTCTGCTGATTTCTGTGCGCCTGGTATCTCATATTTGAATTTAACGGTTTTCTGCCATTTGAGCGGTGGAAAGTGGAGGCAGAAAATGAGAAAAAGTAGATCGAAAAGAGAGAGCAACGAAATACAAAGAGAAACAAGAAAAAACGAGAATTTAAAAAAGCAGCGACCTTCTGCTGATTTCTGTGCGACTGGTATCTCATATTTGAATTTAACGGTTTTATGCCATTTGAGCGGTGGAAAGTGGAGGCAGAAAATGAGAGAAATTAGAGCGAAAAGAGAGAGCAACGAAATACAAAGAGAAACAAGAAAAAACGAGAATTTAAAAAAAGCAGCGACCTTCTGCTGATTTCTGTTCGCCTGGTATCTCATATTTGAATTTAACGGTTTTATGCCATTTGAGCGGTGGAAAGTGGAGGCAGAAAATGAGAGAAATTAGAGCGAAAAGAGAGAGCAACGAAATACAAAGAGAAACAAGAAAAAACGAGAATTTAAAAAAAGCAGCGACCTTCTGCTGATTTCTGGGCGCCTGGTATCTCATATTTGAATTTAACGGTTTTCTGCCATTTGAGCGGTGGAAAGTGGAGGCAGAAAATGAGAAAAATTAGATCGAAAAGAGAGAGCAACGAAATACAAAGAGAAACAAGAAAAAACGAGAATTTAAAAAAGCAGCGACCTTCTGCTGATTTCTGTGCGCCTGGTATCTCATATTTGAATTTAACGGTTTTCTGCCATTTGAGCGGTGGAAAGTGGAGGCAGAAAATGAGAAAAAGTAGATCGAAAAGAGAGAGCAACGAAATACAAAGAGAAACAAGAAAAAACGAGAAATTAAAAAACCAGCGAACTTCTGCTGATTTCTGTGCGACTGGTATCTCATATTTGAATTTAACGGTTTTCTGCCATTTGAGCGGTGGAAAGTGGAGGCAGAAAATGAGAAAAGGTAGATCGAAAAGAGAGAGCAACGAAATACAAAGAGAAACAAGAAAAAACGAGAAATTAAAAAACCAGCGACCTTCTGCTGATTTCTGTGCGCCTGGTATCTCATATTTGAATTTAACGGTTTTATGCCATTTGAGCGGTGGAAAGTGGAGGCAGAAAATGAGAAAAAGTAGATCGAAAAGAGAGAGCAACGAAATACAAAGAGAAACAAGAAAAAACGAGAATTTAAAAAAGAAGCAGCGACCTTCTGCTGATTTCTGTGCGCCTGGTATCTCATATTTGAATTTAACGGTTTTATGCCATTTGAGCGGTGGAAAGTGGAGGCAGAAAATGAGAAAAAGTAGATCGAAAAGAGAGAGCAACGAAATACAAAGAGAAACGAGAATTAAAAAATAGCAGCGACCTTCTGCTGATTTTTGTGCGCCTGGTATCTCATATTTGAATTTAACGGTTTTATGCCATTTCAGCGGTGGAAAGTGGAGGCAGAAAATGAGAAAAAGTAGATCGAAAAGAGAGAGCAACGAAATACAAAGAGAAACAAGAAAAAACGAAAAATTAAAAAACCAGCGACCTTCTGCTGATTTCTGTGCGCCTGGTATCTCATATTTGAATTTAACGGTTTTCTGCCATTTGAGCGGTGGAAAGTGGAGGCAGAAAATGAGAAAAATTAGAGCGAAAAGAGAGAGCAAAGAAATACAAAGAGAAACAAGAAAAAACGAGAAATTAAAAAACCAGCGACCTTCTGCTGATTTCTGTGCGCCTGGTATCTCATATTTGAATTTAACGGTTTTATGCCATTTGAGCGGTGGAAAGTGGAGGCAGAAAATGAGAAAAAGTAGATCGAAAAGAGAGAGCAACGAAATACAAAGAGAAACAAGAAAAAACGAGAAATTAAAAAACCAGCGACCTTATGCTGATTTCTGTGCGCCTGGTATCTCATATTTGAATTTAACGGTTTTCTGCCATTTGAGCGGTGGAAAGTGGAGGCAGAAAATGAGAAAAAGTAGATCGAAAAGAGAGAGCAACGAAATACAAAGAGAAACAAGAAAAAACGAGAATTAAAAAAGCAGCGACCTGCTGCTGATTTCTGTGCGCCTGGTATCTCAGATTCTAATTTAACGGTTTTCTGCCATTTGAGCGGTGGAAAGTGGACGAAGAAAATGAGAAAAAGTAGATCGAAAAGAGAGAGCAACGAAATACAAAGAGAAACAAGAAAAAACGAGAATTTAAAAAAAAGCAGCGACCTTCTGCTGATTTCTGTGCGCCTGGTATCTCATATTTGAATTTAACGGTTTTATGCCATTTGAGCGGTGGAAAGTGGAGGCAGAAAATGAGAAAAAGTAGATCGAAAAGAGAGAGCAACGAAATACAAAGAGAAACGAGAATTAAAAAATAGCAGCGACCTTCTGCTGATTTTTGTGCGCCTGGTATCTCATATTTGAATTTAACGGTTTTATGCCATTTCAGCGGTGGAAAGTGGAGGCAGAAAATGAGGAAAAGTAGATCGAAAAGAGAGAGCAACGAAATACAAAGAGAAACAAGAAAAAACGAGAAATTAAAAAACCAGCGACCTTCTGCTGATTTCTGTTCGCCTGGTATCTCATATTTGAATTTAACGGTTTTATGCCATTTGAGCGGTGGAAAGTGGAGGCAGAAAATGAGAGAAATTAGAGCGAAAAGAGAGAGCAACGAAATACAAAGAGAAACAAGAAACAACGAGAATTTTAAAAAGGCAGCGACCTTCTGCTGATTTCTGTGCGCCTGGTATCTCATATTTGAATTTAACGGTTTTATGCCATTTTAGCGGTGGAAAGTGGAGGCAGAAAATGAGAAAAAGTAGATCGAAAAGAGAGAGCAACGAAATACAAAGAGAAACAAGAAAAAACGAGAATAAAAAAAAGCAGCGACCTTCTGATGATTTCTGTGCGCCTGGTATCTCTTATTTGAATTTAACGGTTTTATGCCATTTAAGCGGTGGAAAGTGCAGGCAGAAAAGGAGAACAAGTAGATCGAAAAGAGAGTGCAACGAAATACAAAGAGAAACAAGAAAAAACGAGAATTAAAAAAAAGCAGCGACCTTCTGCTGATTTCTGTGCGCCTGGTACCTCATATTTGAGAAAATGAGAAAAAGTAGATCGAAAAGAGAGAGCAACGAAATACAATGAGAAACAAGAAAAAACGAGAATTTTAAAAAGGCAGCGACCTTCTGCTGATTTCTGTGCGCCTGGTATCTCATATTTGAATTTAACGGATTTATGCCGTTTTAGCGGTGGAAAGTGGAGGCAGAAAATGAGAAAAAGTAGATCGAAAAGAGAGATCAACGAAATACAGAGAGAAACAAGAAAAAACGAGAATTAAAAAAAAGCACCGACTTTCTGCTGTGTAATCTGTGTACAAGTGTTCAAGTGATGAGTCGCTTTTCCGAGGTGAAGAGAACGTTTTCGTGGTGACTTACCCCTCATTTTCGTGGTGTGAGCCGCATGTTCCCGCATTGTATGGGAAAAATTTCAGCAGCATTGGGAAATTGTTTTGAAGATATTAACGAAATTTTGCAGCACAGGGGTACAAAAAATAGGTATCAGAACCGGTATAAATGTATTTATAAAACACAAATAATATGCATTAATAGGCAAAAACGTCTCAATCTAAGAAAAATGCAATATTAATGCTTGGCAGCTTGTAACATCAAATTTAACATCAATTAAAGGAAATACGGTATACAAAGGACCATACGCATAGAAGAAACTTGGTTGAAAAGCAACAATGACGTCACCTTTAGTCAACATTTACGTTTTATGCTTTGGCCGTTTTTGTTTGAACCTTTTTATGTAAACAATGCAATGAAAAAGATTTCTGAAAACTAGCCAATCCTGAACAAAATTTATTGAGGAATAAGGTAAAATTATTTGTTTAGGGCTGAGAGGGCCAACTAGCTAGAAATATTAAACGGAATATCAAAATCGAAGTATATCAACGCATTTTGTCAGTATATGTACGGTATATTTACGGTATACTTCTGGGGTATTTTTGGGCTCACAATTTAAACGAAGAAATGAGTCCGGAGAGCGTTTTGAGTGCTCTTTTCGACAGGGTCATGGCAAGGTATGGCCCCAGTATTAAGACGGCCAAACTTTTTTTAAGGGCCTCGTAAGGACCTCACCCTAGCCCCGACGGACTAAATATACCATGTGTGCGCGAAAGCACAAAATCCCCCACGGTGAGTTATGTGGTGAGGTGGGTTTTTTCCTTGAAAGCTCTGGATTTTGTGACGTCATACTTCACACCTCATACCCTTATCCTTGCGGCGCAATCAAAAGTTCAACTTCAAGTTCGAACATCGAAATTTTTGCTGCGAAAGGTTGGACCGCGGATGCGTTTTCGTTAAAAATAAAGTAATCTTGTAGAAAATTGATGTATCTATGGGATAAAATTATTTTTTTAGGGCTGAGAGAGCTAACTAGCAAGTAATATTCAACTGAATATCAAAATCGAGGAATATCAACGCGTCTTGTCGTGTCCTTCAGTATATTTACGGTACATTTTGATAATGACAAGGTATATTTTGGTATATTTTTGAGGGTCAGGCGGAATATTTTATCGATAAATCCGCTGGTCACACTGATCGCGTAGCGGTGGCATGCAAAACAAAAAAAAATTAAAAATAATAGATAAAGTAATCCCTGGTAGGTGAAAGTGTCACATTCGTATCACCGCAGTGTGTGTGTTTTTGAAAACTACTGCCAGTGCTCAAAAAAGGAACATAGCCATAGCCGGCGACGAGTTGTCATTGCTATCGTAAAATCAATATTACTAATTTTGCTCTGCCTTCCACATGACATAACTAATTTACGTGCTTCCAGAACCCGGAAACGCCAGCCAATTCTAAACACGCAGCTAGCTGGCAAGAACGGTTCGTTGCCCATTGCAGAAAAAAGCCGAGCAGAACGGCGACGGAGCAGCAAAAGAGGCAATACAACGCAAAGTCGCACCGACGTACCTGGCACAGCGTGTAGAAGAGAACACCTCCATAGACATAGTAAACACAAGAGGCTAAACACTAGACATGTCTGCACCGGTCATTGTCGAGGCCACGGCCAAGCAAACTGCCACGGCAAGTACTCTTTTTCTATACGCACACAAAGCGCTCATTTGAATAACGAATGCTCCGCATTGCAGTTGATTTTCATGCACGGCCTGGGGGATACTGGGTAAGTTTGCGCCCGTAGTAATATTGGGGCGGTCGAATCAATCAACACGTGGGTTCTTTTTAGCCATGGTTGGAGCAGCGCATTGGCCGCCATCAGACCCCCTTTCATGAAGGTCATCTGCCCGACTGCCCCAACACAGCCTGTGTCGCTAAATGCTGGCTTCCGCATGCCCTCTTGGTTCGACCTGAAGACGCTGGATATTTCCGGGCCTGAGGATGAGCCCGGCATACAGGCAGCGCGCGACAATGTGCACGGCATGATCCAGAAGGAGATCAGCGCTGGCATTCCAGCCAATCGCATCGTCTTGGGCGGCTTTTCGCAGGGCGGAGCCCTAGCTCTCTATTCGGCGCTGACGTTTGACCAGCCGCTAGCGGGCGTTGTGGCACTCTCGTGTTGGCTGCCGCTGCACAAGAAATTCCCTGGAGCCAAGCTGAATAGTGAGGATGTGCCGGTAGGTGGAGTCGATACCCAGCAAGTAAACAGAAATAACCAGAAGCTCCCGAATATTGCAGATTTTCCAGGCGCACGGTGACTACGACCCGGTGGTTCCCTACAAGTTTGGCCAACTAAGCGCCAGTCTACTCAAGTCGTTCATGAAGAACGTGACCTTCAAGACCTACAGTGGACTCTCGCACTCGTCGTCCGATGACGAGATGGACGACGTGAAGGTGAGTGGGGTGCAGCACGCCTGGCCCGCCTGAGATTAGCTTGGCAATTTCAACGCTAAAGAACTTCATTACGCTCACTCTGCTCTTCTCCGTTGCAGGACATAATCAGTAAATGGGTAAACTAATTTCCAATGCACTTAGACCGTACGACCCTCGAACCCGCCCGTTGCATTCCACTTGCGTAGCAGCAACAAAATCCAAAAAAAAAGAAGATACAAAAATACACCCAGCAGCTGAACATAATTAAAAACTTAGTGAAAACCAACCGCAGTAAGCGAGTCCAGTCCCCACAGAGAACGAACTATGCATTAGAGTTCACACGGTTGTAGCGTAGCCCGGTTATGGAAATTAGCACTAAAATTAATTCGAAAGCAATCAAATCAACCAATCAATACATACTAAAAGTACACTACTCGCGTAACTATATACGTACTTAACGAGAAACGAAATGCCAAAATATATTGTGTCGAACAAGTAATTAGCGATGCAGTACCAGTACAAGTACCTTACTGCATACGCCTCTGGATGGTCTGCCAAGCATTGAGGAAATGAAAAAAAATACAGTTAAATTTCTTTGATATTCTTTGGCTGCAAAATTCTTTCGGTTTAATTATTTTGGGACATGTGCGTATTTTAATTGAAACTAATAAAGCTATATAATCCACCAAAAGGAAAGTTGAATTGAGCGCCGCCTAATTGGTTTAACAATTCCTTGAATTCCTCATGAGGATTCCACGGGGCAGACTCGACTGCCAGCACAGCACCTGCGTGTCCTGGCAAAGGAAGGCGTGGCGATGCTGGCAGTCGAGTTTCGGTCTCGATTTCAGATCATTGCAGAACGAACCCAACCAAACCCAACTAAAAGTATTTGTTCATTGAAGCTAACACAAAACTTGTTATTTTTAACATTTTTTTGATTTGATTCTTCGTTTCTTGTTTTGTTTTATTTTACACAGCAACAGACAAATCATCTGTAGAGTCGCGGCCAACTGGCTACAGTTTATAATTCGTATCGCTCACTTGTTATACTCGTACCTATGGCAATAAGCAACAAGCAATCCGATTGTTAGCCTAAGAACCAGGCTGGGCAAAAGATAAATATACTCAGAGTCCTATAAATGCATACACACGTATTTCATTTGCTACTTGCTAACCCCGTAGACCGCCAGCACCACTCACCACTCACCATCTTTCATCTATATATTTCCAGACACATTGGGAGGGCCAGGGCATGGCTAGAAAGGCGCAGTGCTGTCAGTTATCGTAGTGGCACTCAGTGTCGGTGTAGTTGAAGGTGCAGTTGCAGTTGCAGTTCCTTCCACAAATCAAAGCTCCTAGCTACTCCACTCCTCACCCTAGTCAAGAAATGAGCTGCGCCCGCGGTCCCGCCAAGCGCAGACGTCCCACACTGAAAGAGAGTTGTATTTTAGTAATTATTTTGTACATACATACACACACATACACATACGATGAACTTGGTACTATGAACGGCTGTCGCCAAAGCGAATTGCCAATAAAGTTATTTGACGCTCTCAACTTGAAGAAAACTCAATCGAAATCGGGATGGCAGATGAAAAATTGAATGCTTTACTTTGTTTCTAATGCAAAAAATGATTCCGATGTTACATTTTTGCAGTACATCAATTAAATATACACATGTATGTCACCCAAAGGTAATGTAACAGGCGTTTTTCAAATTTAGTCAGCCAGTGTTGCAGTATTATAAAACACTGTGCTTTCTCGTTTTGCAACACCGGGAGAAATTAGGAGGCCTCTACACGTTCCAGTAGCCTGAAGCTTTTGTATGAAAAATGAATTAATTAGATTAGATAGATATGGAAACATTATGTGTAAAGAATGCTCTCGGTTGGCTTTGCAGTCGATCTGCTACCTTCAAATAAAAAATAGTGCCACAACACTTCGACTGAGGGCTTAGTCTTTTATCTAGATTGGATTTGAAGTCTATTGTCATACGACCGTTACTGTTGTCAGATAATATGGTGGTTCTATCTTTATAGGCAAACAAGGTAAGGACTATGTACGACCAAGAGGAATAAATATTGGAAAGGTAAAATGGTTCCTTAATTTTATAGATTTTGGTTCAGTACTACTATAAATATTTATTCATTATTTAACTTTTAATCAATGTGAACTAATTAGACAATTAAAACTGAATACAATGTATACAAATGTCCGTAAATTACGTTTACGCGTCAGCACTTCTAAGCAGACTTCCATCCGCCTGGCTGTGACGAGCCCCTCTAGTCTATGCATTGGAGCTACTCCAGTGTCCGATCCTCCCCCAGCGGCACACCAACGAATTACTTGAATGTGTACAGTACATACATATATAAAATTCGAGACCGCTGTCAGTCGCTGGTACTTTTGATTTGAACTGCCAGTAGTTCCCATACCGCCGCGCAGTCTGGTCGCGTTTCCGTCTCCCCATTGAAGTCGCGTCGCTTATCCTCCTTCGGCTGCCACAAGCTCAAGCTAACTCGTCGCAGAGAAAGAAACAAAGGCGCAGAAATAAATTGAATGTAAGAAGTGAACGTGAGAAGAAAAAAATCAATTTTATCAAAGCAATCTACTATGCCCCCCGCACCACTCTGATAGACAAATCAATTTTCGTACTTTTACGAGGAAAAGTTTTGTTGTTTATTGTTTTGTTTTGGTTGGAAATGGAGCTTGCTTGGGAACTTATTATGGCATTGCAGTGGACAGTGCAAAAATGCAGAACTAAGTGCTTGCCACAAAGTTCGTCATTCTCTTGTCTAAATAAACATGCATTCGGGGAACATATTCACCGGTTACCGCAAAAGGAAATTCAAAAACAATGACGGGATCTACGAATCTGCCATTCGATCGAATGTTAAAAAACGCAACAATTAAATTATACAAAGTTAGCCCGAATCAGATAAGTAGTGTGGGAAATTAAAATTAATTTCGGTTCGTGATTGATCAACATATTCTGTCAAAGCTTCAGATTGAATAGCTCAACTCGCTATCGAGTTTCATCCTATGACGCATTATTCATTGAAAATTACCTGCAATTACATGCAAAGTGCACTCCATTTCTCTTTGTCGAAATGGTTGCATTACAATTTAATTAATTTTTAATTTAAGTGCTGCCCTTTACCTTTATGGGAGTACACGTGTAAGCCATTTCCGCCATTTCAAAAAGTGTCGCTCCATGAAGAAGTTCGCCCATCCCATTGATTTTTCATCACTGACCTATGACTCTGCAGACAGTTAAATGAACATCTGAGGAGGTGAAATGTAGAAACAAGTGATTAACAACAATCCACATCTGGTCATTGTGACCCACGTCTCTTTGTGGATGCATTTATCGGCACATTTGCCTTATTGAATAGATGGTACGTGACGCGATTATCGTCTCTTCGAGATTTGAATGCATATCTCGTAATTGTCGGCGCTGATGTGTGATGCATGTGCATCTGAATACAGCTCAGTATTTTCGTCTGTACATACATACATATGTATGTATCCCATATATGCCGGAAAAAAACAAAATATTTTAAATTAAACCGGTTGAATGAGCCACCAAAGTTATACCCAAACCCGATCGATAAAATCAAATTCAAATATTTGACGAGGAAAAAAATACCTGTATAAAGATATAGATTCATGTAAAGATACATATGTATATGTATGTACGTACATGTATGTATATCTTTCATAATAGCAAAAAGTCTGACCAATTAGAATACGCCAAATGCAAATCGTTTTCTTTATAACTAATGAATATCTGCTGAAAATTAGTCGCAAAATGTTGATGTTTATTATAATAGACTTGGCATTTATAAAAATTATCATCCATCTTAATTATAATTCAACATTTAACCATTCCATTCTTTTTTATTGTGTTCCGACTCCAGACTACTTTTTACACCTAAGACTGTTCAGTTTCATATATTTACTGATTCCATGAAGCGGGGGATTTTACAGCCAGCATTTTGCGATGATTTATTATCTCTCAAAAAATGAGCAATTGTTCATCATAATTCATCAGCTCATATCGGTTTTTTTTATTCTCTTACTCGTGAGATATTGTGAGAATTAGCTACTCTTTCTGTATGCTAAACAAGTTGTCGGGGGTCAAGACTCTCGCTGAATCGATGACTGGACGTCACAGAACTGTCCGACACAGAATAGGAGAATCGGAGGAGACCCGACCAGAAATTAGCATTATCCGCTGAGCTGAGCTGGCCATGAATAGCCGTGTGCATATTTAAACTTTCAATTATCCATTCTATCAAGAAGCCAAATCAATCCTCACACCGTGTATTTCCTCGTTTAGAATACATTTGACACGAGTGAATCGCTCCGCTCTGTGGTTACAACTTGCTTTTGCTTTTGCTGCTTATCCCTGCGGTGGAGAGAGGAGTTCAGGGCACAGGTCCCAATGGAATATGGTGTTGAGGGGCTTCATCTCCAGAGACCAGAACGGGTTTGGGTTCTTGACTCAGACAAGACGCAGTTTTGTTTGTTGTTTTTTAAGCCAGCCGGCGCCAGGTGACTATGCAGAATCAGACGACGCCAAATACATTTGGTCGGCAAATAAAATGAAAAACATCTCTGAGTTGAAGGCCAGTTTACCTGCATTACGATTATACGAGTTTGTAGTAGGTTCAGGGCACAAAGTTTTTGCCAGCATCATTGGCAAAGGGTTTATTGGTACGTGATATACCAATACCAATTTATGTACATTTTATTGTACACCTATTTATGTACATACATGTATGTCCAAAGTCTATTGCGTTACGGAAAGTCTGATGCCACACGACAGAGAAGAGGAACCTTTCAGTTAGTTGTGTGCTTATATCATAAACACCTTCGAGCGGAACGACTGGAAACGTGATAGATCTCTGCGATAAGTACATAGCACCAGCATCTGAAAACCAGTAGCGGAACAAACAGTCTTGATCTGTCCGCCAGCTTGATAAATGGACTTGTCTGTAATCCAACAAATGCAAATGCCACTTAGACTTTTTTAAGAAATAATTATTAGCCCTGTAGGTTTTTCTGGCTGCACTCCTGGGTGACATTGATCCTTCCCATGAAAGCTTTCAGTGTATAAAACATTCTTAACGATATTGTATTGGTACGCAACCCGTTTCGATCGTTTCGCACAGGACTATTTCGTATCTGGGACCTATTGCTAATGAAAAACGCTAATGAGGGGACGGTTTACGATCAGAGACAAAGGAGAGGAGATGTTCAGCCAGCTGCAGCATCATTTGATTGGCATTTAAATTGCTTTCGCAGGTTATTCCAGATGATAATCTCAATAAAGGTGGAATAAATGGAATAAATATGTTTGAATTTCAACAGGTCCCGCTGTGGTATTAATTAACATTCAATCGTGATTTGTAGAGTTTCAATTGGTATAATTATCAATCAAACAAACACGTGTGCCAATGAGGTAAATTGTCTGTATTATATTATATAAATGTCATTGGTGTGATTTAAGAATAAATTTCAACCAATGTTAATTTGTAATAAGACTTTCAAACCTGAGTAACACTTTTAATGGATCTATCTAAGTAAATATAGTGGCCAAGCTGGGCAATGTATTGGCGGGCGTACTTACTATTCCAAATTCCAGTCTTGGTCGTTCCCGCATCCGCACCCGCTCCTGCACCCTAGTTGTCTGCTGC